GGGGGGGCGGCCGCGGCGCCAGCAGCCGAAAGGAATTGCTGGCGGGCACAGACCGAGGCCAGGGGAGAGGGGGCAACTCAGGAGCTGGGAAAACAACATCGTGTCTCTGCGTGCCCCAGATGTTGCAGCCATGGGAAGAGGTGAGCTCCAAGCAACCACTTTCCGTGCACAGTTTTTACTTCTTTTAACATTTCTTCCTGCCATTCATCTCACTTTAGGGGAGTTTTCACTGCTGCCGGTATTTCCCCTCCTGGCACGACCCCTTGCTGGGTTGGTGCTGGCTGGGGTGACCTGGTTTGTTTTGGTAGGGTTGCTCCCCGGAGCAGGGCTGCGAGTGCGTTGCTGTAAGGTTGGTGCTCAGCTCTCCTGTTACTTGGAAGCGTTCGATGGTGAGACTCCTGCATCCCGTAAAACGCATGGCTGGAAAGTTATGGGAGGGAAACTCCCTCCCAGCCCTTCCCTGCATGGAAGAACTCCTGGCCCTGCAGGCGAGGGAGGCTGGTGGGGTGGCAGCTTCTCCTGGCAGTGTCACTGCAGGGTCCCAGGCTCTGGCAGGCTTGTCCCTTGCCCCAGCTCGAGGTGACTGATGGAGAGCAGTGGCATGGCAGGATGAGTGCATGAGGTCTCCCCCATGATCCAGCTGCTCGCTGGAGCTGTGCCACATGGCCCCAGCACCTCCAGCCCGACCTCCCCGCGGCTCGGTGGCTTTCAGCTGGGTTTGGGGAGAAAATCCCATTCCTTCAGCTATGGAACAGCATCGGGCAGACCCCAGCTCCCCCCAGCTCCCCTCGCTGTCTCTCTGCTCTGGCCTTGGGAAGGGGCTTGTGTCCTACGGGCATCCCTTCAGCCGAGCTCGAAGGGGCGAGCCCGGCCGCATCCTGCACCAGATGATGCGAGAGCTGGAGATGCTGCCGTTATCCCGGAGCAATTTGTCATCTTCAGTGCAAAATTGTGTGGGCAGCCTCCATCCTGCCTGCAACACCAGACAAGGGGAAGGATTGATTAAGTAATTTTTGTGTCTTGCAGTCAGCATGTGTATAAATAAAAGCAGCGCAAACCTCTCTTTGCAGAGCTGAACAACAATACCTTGTGCCTTTCTATGGCACTTTGCATCTCAGGCTCAAAGCATCGCCTGGCAAAGGCTCCCGCGCCGCTCGCCCCAGCTGCTGCCAGCACTGGGTGGGCAGG